GTTGGGAACGTCTCATGATCCAAAGCATACCATATCATCTGTATAACACGGTGAAGACAGTGTTATGGCATGGGCATGCATGGTTTCCAACGGCACTGGGTCACTTTATTGACAATGTAACAGAATACAGAAGCAGCCGGATGAATTCTGAAATATATAGGGATATATTGTCAGCTCAGCGAGGTTGATTGGACGGCGCTTTACTTTAAGATCCAAAACATACTGCAAGAGTAACCAAGGAGTGGAAATGGAATATTCTGCAATGGTCGAATCAATCACCTCATCATGCATTTTACTTGCTGAAGATAAAACCTAAGGTAGACCCATGAACAAACAACAAATGAAAACAGCTGCATTAAAGGCCTGGCAAAGCATCACAAACTAGGAAACCCAGCGTTTGGTGATGTCCATGCTTTCCAGACTTCAAGCAATCATTGCCTGCAAAGGATTCTCGACAAAGTATTAAAATATAGCACTTTATCTGTGATTGTGTCAAGTTGTACAATTACATTTGAGCCCCTTAAATAAGTTTACTGTTTATGAAAATTCCTAAACGCTTCATACAATATTTTTGTTCAACCCCTTGAATTAAAACGGAAAGTCGGCACTTAAATTGCATCTTAGTGGTTTCATTTCAAATCCACTGTTGTAGTTTAGAGCCAAAATTATGAAAATTGTGTCAGTGTCCAAATATTTCTGGACCTAACTGTATAAATGTAACCAAACTAATTTTTTAGGCCTATGTCATCTTCAGGGAGTACTGCTCACACAGCATTGCTATGGGATTGAAATCCACAATTAAAGAGCTGTATGCAGGGCCAGATTAAGAGCCCATTGGGTCTGGTGCTGACAATTATGATAGGCCGAATTACAGAACTGTATAACAGAAAACACTAAAACAATTATACCTTCCAAGCGTCATGTATCTGATGGAGGTGGTGCTGTAAGGAGGAGGTGCTGGCATGTATAAAATATATACATGAACAATGCATACATATTTTTTCTCATAATGCACCTAATGTTCACACTTTCTAACTAAGCTGAGCTTTTACTCTATTATGGTGTATTGACATTTCCTAACTTTTTGGTTTGAGCAATGCTAAATCCCTGCTCACACCTGGGAGTTCCAGGTATCAATTGATACGTAGGGCCCCTTTAAGACAGCTGGGGCCATTCTTAGTGGCAGACTGACAGATCAGCTGTATGCAGTGATCAATCAGATCTGTTCATACTATGGGACATCACAGCATACAAATATGTGTTTTATTGCAGAAAAAGCTAACAGTAGTATAACATTCACAGTTAAAATGCCAGGCAGAATAAAAAAAAAAATTTCTTATTTTCTCAATCTTGTTTAGATTTTATTTATGGTAGATGAGTGTGATTTACTACCCTGTCGGGCGACTCATACACTGACGATTGGGGGTCCTCTAGAACCCCTTACTAGCAAAAGGTCCGTCAGGATAATTATTTAATTTGGGTGTATATCTGGATTTTGGCTATCCACTTTTACAGTTATAATTTTAGGGAGTCTTTTGTATTATATGAAACATATGCTATTTTTTATGTAAAATATGTAATATATATGATATAAGGAATATTTCATTGACCGGGTGGTTTGTATAACATGACCCACTTTGTTCCATTATATTAGGGCACGGCACGCTGCTTTTCAGGCACTAAAGTAACTTTCCATTTCCCTGTAGTGACTTTGTAATAGCTTCACAAGCTGCTACTTTGTTACAACTTTACACGTGTTGCAATTAGCTTGATGTTAAGCTATATTAGCAGAACTATTTCAGTTTTACTGGGGGATTTCGTTATTCCCTAGTTTATAGGGTGAGTTTGTCTTTCCTTTCTACTTAAGTTTATTTAATCTTTCAATAAAGTTTATTAGGACTTAATTTTTGCACGTTTTTAGATTGATTGTTTACCAGGGGGTATTGGTTCTGAGGATATTTTCTTAGAGGAGTCACTTCCCCTCACTACCTTATTTCTTATTCATATCAAATTATATTTCATGTGTAAATATTGGATGTGAAAGGAAAGCTCTGTTTCTCCTGAACAAACTGATATATAACAAGTGTGGATGCACTTAAAATGAAAGAGGTAAATTATGGTAAACCCCTTCCCGCCGTTACGGCGTTCTATGCCGTTTCGGCGGCATAGAACGCCATAACGGCTTTGAGCACCAGAGGACCGGCGCTACTTACCTCCGCCGCGATCCTCTTCTGGAGGGCTGCCAGACCGCCCAGGCAGCCCTCCTCCGGTGAACGTGGCCCCCTATAGCTGGCTGTGGATCTGCCAGCAGGGGGGCTGTCTGAAATAGCAGACAGTCCCCCTGCTGGTGGAAAGTGTAAAAAAAAATAAAAAATAAACATGTTAAAATAAATTAAATATATTTTTATATATATAATATATATGTATATATTATATATATAATATATATACATATTATATACATATAACGTCATACGTAATGTATTTTAATATTAATATAAGTATATATTAATATTAAAATACACTTAGAATGACGTTACATATATATAATATGTATATATATTATATATATAATAGATATATACACATATATTATATATATATACGTATAATTACAATAATAAATAAATTAAATAATAAAATAAATAAATAAAATATTGAAACAAAATTTTATATAAATTATATATTCATATGTAATTTCATTCTAACTGTATTTTGTTATTAATATATATATATTGGTAACAAAATACACTTAGAATGACATTCTATATATATCTATCTATATATAAAATACAAATAACCGCAAATAAATATATATAGATAAATACATATAATTACATAAAAGATTACATTAGCATACACGTAGAATTTCAATACCTATAAATGCATATATATTAAAATTCTACGTGTATATTTAAGTAATCTTTTAACATAATTATGTGATTTGATTAATTAAAATTTGATTGACATGCCTGACACACGGGGAGAAAGTGCAGAGAATTTAATTCGCAAGCACTATATTTGACCCTGTAACTCTCCAAGACTCCATAAAACCTGTATATAGGGAGTACTGTTTTACTCGAGAGACTTCACTGAACTCAAATATTAGTGTTTCAAACTGGTAAATTGTATTACAACGATGATATTTTAAGTAAAAGTGAAGTTTTTTGCATTTTTTACAAACAAACGTCATGTTTATGGACTATATTATTGTTGTAATATATTTTACTGTTTTAAAAAACTAATAGTTGTGTTTAGTGAAGTCTCCCGAGATTAACAGTACCCCCCATGTACAGGTTTTATGGTGTTTTGGAAAGTTAGAGAGTCACATATAAGGCTTGCATTTCATTTTGTTGACATTGAAATTTGCCAGATTGGTTATGTTGCCTTTGAGACCGTATAGTAGCCCAGGAATAAGAATTACCCCCATGATGGCATACCATTTGCAAAAGTAGACAACCCAAGGTATTGCAAATGGGGTATGTCCAGTCATTTTTAGTAGCCACTTAGTCACAAACACTGGCCAAATATTAGTTTTTGCTTTTTTCACAAAAAAAACAAATATGAATGCTAACTTTGGCCAGTGTTTGTGACACAAGTGGCTACTAAAAAAGACTAAACATACCCCACTTTCAATACCTTGGGTTGTCTACTTTTTCAAATGGTCTGCCATTATGGGGGCAATTCTCATTCCTGGGCTACCACACCATCTCAAAGGTAACATTACTAATCTGGCAAATTTCAATGTGACAATGGAACGTTCTATATTTGACTCTGTAACTTTCCAAAACACCATAAAACCTGGTAATGAGGGGGAACTGTTGTACTCGTGAGACATCGCTGATTACACGTATGTGCATTTTTTTGCAGTAAAACCTAACAGTATTATGACATTTACAGCTAAAATGTGAGGCGGAAGAACAAATTTTTTAAAAAAAAATGTAAAATTTCTCAGTTTTTTAAATTTTATTCATAATAAATTATGTTTCATATATAAATATTTGATATGAAATGAAAGCCCTGTTTCTCCTGAACAAAATGATATATAATAAGTGTGGGTGCATTTACTATGAAAGAGTTGAACTACGGTTGGACAGACATGTAGCGCAAATGCCAGGTTTTGTTTACATTTTGTTTTGTTCACAACGTGTACATTTGGCTCCGTCCTTAAGGGGTTAAACACAATATAGCTCCAATTACAGTTTTTGTTTTGCTTTAGTTTTAATCAAAACTTGTCCAGTTGCATCCACCTTCAACCCCTTCCCGACCGAAAACGGAAATTTTCCGTCAACCTTTTCCTTGTGTTAAGGACCATTGACGGAAAAGTTCCTTCATTTACGAAAGTTAACCCCAGATTGCCGCGATCGCAGGTTTAACGCTGCCCCTGCCCTGCAGCAGTGATCACTCTGACAGGCTGTCAGAGCGAGCACATGTGCTGTAGGGACTCACAATCTGCCTCCCTGCGCTTCCGTGTCCAGTACGAAGTGCAGGGAGACAGATCAGTGCTGACCCTCTTCATCCTGTGTAAAAAAAAAAAAAAAATGTCAATTAAATCCCACCCCCTTTTCCCACTGCTTTAATAAAATTAACCCCTTCACTGCCAATTGATCACTGACTACAGTGATCAATTGGCAGGGGTTACATTTTACTGCCATCTGATTTTTTTTTAACCCTCAGGGATTAATTATTTTTTTAAACCCTCAGGGGTTAAATTTATTTTATTAATTATTTAAACATTTCAAAATTCTATATTTATATAGCTGGGATGGTTGGAAGTTAGTGGGGAATTGGGGGATTTGGTGTTAGGCATAACTTTGGCCTTCTCACTCACCGCCTCATGAGACTGTGCAAGCAGCAGCAGACGATAGTGGAGTTTCAGCTGCAGCACGCACGGGTCAGTGACTCTGCAACAGATTTCCCTCCAATTGATCAGAGTTAAAGGATTTGAAGTGAACTCATTACAATTACAGGGCCTCTAAAGAGTCCTGCATTGTTATTTGTCGTCATTACCTTCCCGCATCAGGAGTGGGTCATTTGCACGCCTGCTGCCTTCCTTGCATATGGTAGCTGTTTCTCAGGGTCCCTGTATGGAATGGAACCCTGATTCTCCGTTACCCGTGGTCACCATGGTAGGCGCAGAAACTGGCGTCGAAAGTTGATATGGATGACATTCAAATGCAAATTCGCCGTCACGGGGATGTACGACTGGTCCGAGGTTCTCTAGAGTCAACAAAGTGCCTGTGCAACTATAATGTCAACAGCTACTCTGAGGAACAGAGTTGTCTTTTTTATATGTCCCAATATTTTGGGAGCTACCCCAATAAAAAAAAATAAAAAAATAATAATAATAATAATAATAATAATAATAATAATAATAATAATAATAATAATAATAATAATAATAATAATAATAATAAAATAATAATAATAATAATAATAATAATAATAATAATAATAATAATAATAAATATATATATATATATATATATATATATATATATATATATATATATATATATATTATCTCAGTGTTGGCTACCTCATCCTCCTCCACCGCCGCTTCCACCTTCACCGCCTCCTCAACCTATGAGTCACAGTATTGTATAGTAAAAAAAACAGTATTGGCTGCCTCATCATTCTCCTCCACCGCTGCTTCCACCTATGCCGCCACGGCCACCGCTTCCTCAACCTATGGGTCACTTAGTATAAACTATGTACACATTAGCAGAGGCTTGTGAAGGCCTTTTCACCATGCATCAGGAGTTGAGCATTTATCCATGCATCAGGACTGCAAGAAATGCACCACAGGCCGCAAATGTATCTTTTTTTATAAGTCTCAATATTTTGGGGGCTACCCCAATTAAAAATAAAAATAAATAAATAAATAATAATAATAATAAAAAAATAAAATAAATATATTACATATATATAAAAACACAGTTTTGGCTACATTCTCCTCCTCCACTGCCGCTTCCACTTACACCGCCATGGTCACCGCCTCCTAAACCTATGGGTCACTTAGTATAAACTATGTACACATTAGCAGAGGCTTGTGAAGGCCTTTTCTCCGTGCATTAGGAGATGAGCTTAGTTTGAACAATGAAAGAGAATACCCTGCACTCCAACCCTCTCTCAAATGGATAATTCTGGTGCTCCTCCTGACAGCCATGCTTTAGATTTTGATTTATGTTCTTCCAAAGCTAAAATCAAAGATTCCATCTAGTGCTATTTTATGGCTCAGCTGTATTTTTTATTTTTATGTTATTTTAAGTGATTTCCCTATCTACATTTCTTTGCAGGGCACTTGTCCTACTCTAACCCCCATTTTACTTGCTTTTGCAGCTCTCTAGCTCTTTCCAGGAGTTTTAGAGGCAATTTTGTGCCCAAAAGTTCAGGTCCCCATTGACTTCAATGGGGTTCGGGGTCAAGTTCGAGCCCGGACTTTTTTTCAAAGTTCGTCCAAACCCACCGGACCCGAACATCCAGGTGTCCGCTCAACTCTAACCAAAACCCTCCATGAAAATTCACACTTAAAAACCTGAACTTGTCACGTCTCTTTTACAGCTCTGTAACTTCACAAAATAGTGTCTAGGTCATACATTGGGCATATTGTTTTACTCAGAAGATGTAACTGAGCATAATTTGGGGATTTTTATGACAGTGGTACATATCAAGCGTAAGAGATACTCAGCAAAAATGCAACATATATGTAAAAATGCAATTTTTTTCCCCCTCACCACAAACATTGACATAAATTGTTGAAAAAATGGTGGCACGTTAAGGCACAATATACACCATATTAGATACCCTAGGGTGCCTGCTTTATCAAATAAAAGCCCTTTGTGGGGTTATTTGAACAGTCACACTGCTATAATACCCTAAAATGAGACATAGGCCAATCAAATCCATCTAGGAAAATTCTAACTATAGAAACTGAAATAGCCTTGTCTCTTATTTTGCATTGTAACTTTACAGAAAAGTGCCAAAGGCATACAATGGGGGCATTGTTATATTCAGCATATTAGGCTAAACATAATATGGGGTGCAGGAATAGCACACACCACCTTTCCGAAATACACATTACAAAAACCTTGTTATATGTCTATATGCCAAAATAAAGAAAAAACACAATTTTAATAATATTTAGCAGGGTGAGCCCCTAACTCCCTCAACCCCTTTCTCAGCTTAACAGACACACCAGCACAACTACTGGCCGCCTGGGTCACAGGGGTGGAGATGTCCACAAAATCCAGTAAGAAACTAAAACAAAAAACATTGCACTCACATCTAAAAATTGTGCATAACAGCGACCAAGATGGTGACGTTGACCTGAACTCACCTATATCAGACCACGATACCAGGGACAGCCAAGAAATCCCAGACACCCCAAACTCGCAACCGGTCACAGATGCGTCGGTGGGCAACATGCTGCGCTCACTACAAGCCAGCCTAAAAACAGACTTCTCCAAAATGGTGTCTGACATCAGAGCAGACATACAAGCCCTGGGAGACAGGACTGCTCACCTAGAGGAGAAAACTGAAGGGCTGCTGGAGGCACACAACAAATTAGCAGGAGCACATACCACATTTCTACAGAAAGTGTTTTACCTAGAGTGGAAAATTGCAGACAACGAGGACCGAGACCGGCGGAATAATATAAGGCTGAGAGGCATACCAGAAGACATAGGCCTACAAGACCTAGCTAAATTTGTCCAAGATATGTTCCGAGCCCTGATTCCCAATCTTGAGGCCTCAGACCTCCGCCTGGACCATACGCACCACCTGCCGAAACCCAGACACCTACCGCCCTCCACCCCAAGAGATGTAATTACGAGGTTACACTACTTCACAGTGAAAGACCAACTAATGCAGGATTGTCGGGCAACTTCACCACTTCCAGCCCCATTTACAGACATCAAGCTGTTTATTGACCTTTCTGCAATGACGATGTCCAAAAGGAGAGCCTTTGCTTCCATCACCACAGCACACAGCAATGCCACTATCCCATACAAGTGGGGATTCCCAGCGAAACTCATACTTAAGAAGAATGGAGCAGATTGAATCATCCTCACGCCGCATGATGGCATACAGCTGCTTAAAGAATGGAACATACCTATTCACCACCCATCCAACTTCAGATCACCCACAGCATCACCACCTAGGAAACTTACCAGAGACTTGCATACGGTCCCCTGGCACGAGACACTCACAAGGGCACCGGACATGCCGCCTACCGGTGCACCCAAGCGCAATCTCACAGACCACCAATGAAGACTCACAGATATGTATTCAAAGTGTAATATGTTGATACTGTTTACCTATCACTCCCCTGTGCACAGCCACGAGTCCACACTCGGTGGATACCAATTGGGTAAAAGTTTTTGTTAAATTGTGTTATTACCCCGCTTTCACGGTTATATTATAAGATACCACCCGAGCAGAGTAGTTGCAACAATAGTCACACATTCATACTGAATACTATACACCTGTGGAAGGGCACAACTCCCGTAATCCACTCAGAAGCATCTAATGTTCTACCGCCCACGATCCCCCATATGGCTTAAATAACAAGCCACATCTTACCCGTTTGCAGATCACTGCGCTGTGCCATTTGGCTAACGGGTCTAGTATGTAGTTCTTGTTTACACCCCCCCCCATATCTACCTACCACCCCCCGCTCAGAACCCAGCGATAACAAATGCGAAGCAAGGGCACTATTACCAAACAAGAGGGAAGATTCCCTGCCCCACTCAACCTAACTTTCTCCAACAGGATGTCGATCGCAATACTCTCCCTAAACATGAAAGGGTTAAATTCGCGAAATAAGCGGTGACTGGCACTACTGGAGGCCAGGAAACAGAAGGCGCACATAGCCTTCTTCCAAGAAATGCATTTTAAATGGGGCTCCTGGCCCAGGTTTAATTCACACTGATTCCCGATAGACTACCACTCTTGCTACTCCAAAAAGAAAAGAGGAGTTTCTATTCTAGTGAGTAAATCTACTACCTTTGCACTGGTTCGCAAAATTAGTGATAGTAAAGGCAGATACCTCATCCTCCAATGCCATATCAATAACAGCCCCTTCACATTAATGAATATCTATGGGCCCAACGAAAACCAGGAATCATTCATATCACATGTATTTGCATTGTTGAAAGTGTATAGCTTTGGGGAGGTAATACTTGGAGGCGATACCAATTTCCTCCTGGACAGTATTAAAGACTCCTCTGCCTCAGACACTGTAACACCCACAACATCTAAAAGACGGCTTACACAGTCCCAACATATCTGTAATACCCTAACTACTCATGACTAGTGATGTACCGAACGGTTCGCTGGCGAACGGTTCCCGGCGAACATAGCATGTTCGCGTTCGCCACGGCGGGCGAACATATGCGCGGTTTGACCCTCCCCCTATTCGTCATCATTGAGTAAACTTTGACCCTGTACCTCACAGTCAGCAGACACATTCCAGCCAATTAGCAGCACAGCCTCCCTAGCAGACCCTCCCACCTACTGGACAGCATCCATTTTAGATTCATTCTCAAGCTGCATGCTTAGTAAGAGGAGGGAAAGTGTAGCTGCTGTTCATAAAATAGGGAAAAGCATAGCTAGGTTAGGGATAAGGGTATGCTTTTTTTTGATTTTTTTTTTCTATGTAATGTAAATGCACTTAGTTGTCTGCCACTGCTGCCAGCTTCTGTGTCAGGCTCACAGTGCCCATTTCCCAGTCAGTGCCACCAATTACATCTGGTGTCACAATAGCTTGGATTTAAAAACAAAAAACTTTTTTCACTGTTATAGATTGAATAGCAGTCAGTTGTCTGCCACTGCTGCCAGCTTCTGTGTCAGGCTCACAGTGCATACTGTGCCCATTTCCCCAGTCAGTGCCACCAATTACATCTGGTGTCACAATAGCTTGGATTTAAAAACAAAAAACTTTTTTCACTGTTATAGATTGAATAGCAGTCAGTTGTCTGCCACTGCTGCCAGCTTCTGTGTCAGGCTCACAGTGCATACTGTGACCATTTCCCCAGTCAGTGCCACCAATTACATCTGGTGTCACAATAGCTTGGATTTAAAAACAAAAAACTTTTTTACTGTTATAGATTGAATAGCAGTCAGTGTCCTTAAAGCGGGTGTGTTACGCTAACAGTGGATACGGTGACCAGTGCCACCAATTAGATCTGGTGACACAAAGCTTGGATTTAAAAAAAAAAAACTTTTTTTCACTGTTATAGATTGAATAGCAGTCAGTGTCCTTAAAGCGGGTGTGTTACGCTAACAGTGGATACGCTGACCAGTGCCACT